GAGAAGAGCACCATTATATAAGTCTGGCTTGTAGACTTCCCATAGGCAACTGGTTGGCCTTCACCAACCTGTCCATATGTTTTGGACTTCCAGTTCCCATCAGTTTCAGTCAGGGTAGTCATCTGGATGTCCCCAGGTTGGTGTAGACTGCACTAAGGGGACAGGGTGATTTCTTCACAATGGTTCCTCACCTAGTTAGAGCTTTCAGAGTGTTGGCATATATGAGCTTAATTATACCCACATTAAAGATAAGATAAAGGTAGTTCCATGGTAACTGCTGTGTTATATTTGGGAAGTGCAACATTTTATATTCTAAATTCGCACTCTGTTTTTTTCAGCCAGATGCAGTAAATGTGTCTCTCTAAAATGATCTTGAAAGATCCAAATAAATATTTAAAATCAATTGAATGTACTTGACATAACCCAACTAAATCAATTTACGGACAGTTTCTAGGATTATGCTAGGCTATATCTGCCCAATGCTTCTACACAATGGACTTACAAATGTTTTAACAATTATTCTCTCCTCATGGAGATCCGTTGTAGTTCTGTGAGTGAGAGGAGATGATCCGTATGTCCCCAAACTTCAATTTACAGGTCTCTTGGGGACAAATTCTGAAAATGTATAAAATATGTAAGTTTATAGTGAAGTAAGTGGGGGTCTTAGGACAGTGGTCCTAATTAGATTATTCACTTTTCTTCCAAATAAACCCCTATGACAAGATAGGCTACGAGTTTAAACATTATATACGAAACAAGTCCTCTTCTTTATAGGTATTCATTTTTTGTTGTGTCATGAAGGAATCATCCAACGATAAATATACAGCAGTATCAGATGTTGAATCAAAATTCTTACATGTAGGAGAAAAGCAAAGTAACTTATAGGTCCATGTTTTTAAAATGGCTGCCATTTTACATCTGCTGACTGGATTCATTCAGGCATTGTTGCTTAAACAACGATGAAGCTCCTGACTTGAGGTAAAAAGCAAAAGTGTAGAAAAGCTTTTTACATTTCCTGAGTTCATGTCCATATATAAATGTGCAGGATATGTGTAGCAATTGCCAGAAAAGGTGTTTCAGTTGGGAATTTTGAGTTTTGTTTCTCTTCTCCCAAATATTTCATTCAAGCCACTAAACAAACTCTGTGATCTTTGCTACCATTCACATTACTTCTTATCCTTCTCCCCCCCCACTCCCACCCCCCTGCTGTGTCAAGGTCAAGAAACAAAGAGAGTAAATCTTCAATAATGGACATTTCCCTCTGTGAGGCCCCCTAAGGTAAAGCCTTGTTCTGCAATTAGTGTCGCTTCAGCAAGCGAGCACAGAAAGTGAAGCAAAGAGAAGCCCTTCCAAATTACAGTCATTTTCTCTGCAGATTTCTTTTCCTATCCCCAGGAGCACCAGGAAGCTACTGGCTATGGCAGCATGAGAGAGAGAGAGAGAGAGAGAGAGAGAGAGAGAGAGAGAGAGAGCTGCATAAAGAAGCAAATTCCATCTGTGTCTGGGTAGGTCATGTCAGGTTGCCAGTGCTAAACATCTGGACCGCCATGGAAGCTTGTTACAGCCGTACATGATATCCCTACATTGATGAATGGGAAACACATCTGTTTTCAAGTCAAAGGAGTCTGCGTCCCTAAACAGGTCTCAGAGCAACAAACCAGGATTGTCATGAGAACCTCCCTAGTGTACCACACCTCTATGAAAAGGAAAGACAGGTGCCCTCTGCTGGATCTCTCTGGGCTCGTTCTTTACTCCAAGGGTGGCACTCCTAATGTTGTTGGGCTATATCATCCTTGACCATGCTGGCTGAGGTTGATGAGAGTTGAGGGGCCAAAATATCTGGAGGACCAAAAGTTCCCCACTCCTGCACTGCTCCCCTAGTAGTTTAATATGGAAGCCCTGACAAACACTCCACCCCACAAACTTAAAAGCCCCAAACATTGTGACCATTGCTCATGGGAGAGCTGTTCCAACCCCTTGATCATTTTTGTTGCTCTTTTCTAGCTCTTCCATATTCTTTTTGAGGCGCAGAAACCAGAACTGGGCATAGTATTCCAAGGGCAGTAGTGGAAGACAGCTGTCTGCCATTTTTGGCAGCGGTATCATGTTTCTTATAACAGGTTAGTCTGCATGGAAAGTGAAAGTGAAAGCAGAACATGGTTCTACTTCTGCTTATCCACAAAGGAGTCTTACAAAATACAGTGGTACCTCTAGTTACGAACTTAATTCGTTCCGGAGGTCCATTCTTAACCTGAAACTGTTCTTAACTATAGGTGTGCTTTCACTAATGGGGCCTATTGCTGCCGCTGCGCCGCCAGCACATGATTTCCGTTCTCATCCTGGGGGGAAAGTTCTCAACTCAAGGTAACTCTTCCAGGTTAGCAGAGTTTGTATCCTGAAGCGTTTGTAACTTGCGGTACCACTGTACATGGATACACCCATCTTGCTTTTCAGGCACAGTTTTGCTAGGGATGCTGAGGTGAACCCTAGTGAAAGCAGAGAGTGTCTGAGGACATGTGTGAATATGATGTCATAAAGAACATGTTGTGTCTTATCCATTATGAAGAAGGGCTGTGGCTCAATGATGGAGCTCCTTCCCTCCTTCCCTTTCTTGCCTGTTTTCATGGCTCTCCTTCTCTCTGTGTGTGTTATGTTAGGAAAAGAAAAGGCTGCCAAGTCCTTTGGAGAGAAACTTTCCTATTGGCTTAGATCCCTTGGGTGGGGGGCGAAACTCCCTGCTTTATTTGACTCTCGTTCGCGTCCTCCTCTCCTTCCCTTATTTCACTAATTTTCTCTCTCTTCTTCCCACCCCAATTGAAAGTATCTGTCAATGTCTGGTTGTTGTCCCTCTCTCTTTTACCATTTATTTTTGGATACAGGAAGGCTTTTGGAAGGACCTAAATTCCCCTTCTTTTTTACTTTTTTTAAAAAAAAATAGTTTCTGTGGTCCTTAATAATCAGTTTGTTCCTTTTTTCTTTTCTTTTTTTGGCAGAACCACAAATTTTGGTCTGAGGATTCATGTTTTCCCCTCTGGGTTTCCCTTTTTAAAAAAATTAAAAGCCACCTTTTGGAATAAGTCTTCTCTGTCCTGTCCATTTACTGTATTTATTTTTCCCGATTTGAACTATAAAATGGTGATTTTCCTGAGTCAAAATGAGAGTACCCCTAAACATTTTTAAAGGAAAAAAACCACTGATTACGGCCATGTCCCATTTTTGGCATTGGAGATTGTATGCCTCCAAATACAGTGGTACCTTGGGTTAAGAACTTAATTCGTTCTGGAGGTCCGTTCTTAACCTGAAACTGTTCTTAACCTGAGGTACCACTTTAGCTAACGGGGCCTCCTGCTGCTGCCGCGCCGCCGGAGCCCGATTTCTGTTCTCATCCTGAAGCAAAGTTCTTAACCCGAGGTACTATTTCTGGGTTAGCAGAGTCTGTAACCTGAAGCGTCTGTAACCTGAAGCGTATGTAACCCGAGGTACCACTGTACTAGATGCTGGGGAATATAAGTAGGGAGAGTGCTATTGCACACATGTTCTGTTTGTGGACTTCCCACAGGGATCTGGCTGGCCAATGTGAGAGCAGGATGCTGGACTAGGCAGGCCTTTGGTCTGATCAGCCAAACTCCTCTTTTAAGTCTTCTCTGTCCTGTCCATTTACTGTATTTATTTTTCCCAATTTGAACTATAAAATGGTGATTTTCGTGAGTCAAAATGAAAGAACCCCTAAACTTTTTTTAAGGAAAAAAAACACTGATTACGGCCATGTCCCACTTTCGGCATTGGAGATTGTATGCCTCTGAATACCAGATGCTGGGGAATACAGTGGTGCCTCGCAAGACGAAATTAATCCGTTCCGCGAGTCTCTTCGTCTTGCGGTTTTTTCGTCTTTTTCGCACGGCTATTAACGGCTTAGCGCCTTTAAGAAAAAGGAAACAAACTCGCAAGAACTCGCAAGACGTTTCATCTTGTGAAGCAAGCCCATAGGGAAATTCGTCTTGCGGAACGACTCAAAAAACGGAAAACTCTTTCGTCTAGCAAGTTTTTCGTCTTGCGAGGCATTCGTCTTGCGGGGCACCACTGTATAAGTAGGGAGAGTGCTATTGCACACATGTTCTGTTTGTGGACTTCCCATGGGGATATGGCTGGCCTCTGTGAGAACAGGATGTTGGACTAGGCAGGCCTTTGATCTGATCAACCAAACTCCTCTTTTAAGTTTACAGCCTGCCTCTCATGTGAGAATCAGTTGTGTTCATCTAGCTGAATCGATTCCTGTGTGAGTGCAACATACTTTCCAAGCGCCCCAGAAAAAAATGGGCCATTCCATTTTTTCTTGCGAGATCTCAATGACCATTTGGGGTGCTGTAATGTTGCACGGCACTCCCTCCCCCAAAGCGCTTTTTGAGTGTCATACAAAATCTCACACACACACCCCAGAAGCACTTTTTAAGTGCCAAGAGTGAGGCATGGGTCACATGACTTGCCCAGGAGTGCATCCCAGAAGATGTGCACCCCAGTTTTACATCGGAAATAGTTGCAAGGCATGATGTTACTGCAGTTGAATGGCAAGGCCGTTACAGTGCTTATGCCAACTTCAGTCTGCAAAACAATGACCAAAAGACAGGCCCACTGAAGTCCACTGGAATATTTACCAAAGAAAAGAAACCTTGAGAATGGTCTCTTAACTGCTTTTGCCAAGAACTCCTTGCTAGGTACAGAGGAGAGAAATGAGCATGATATTCCTTGATTTGTTGGTCTTTCTGCTTCATATAGAAACGGGTTTCATACTTTTTCTTACAAAAGCTGCAGGCAGGATACTGTACTTAAGGAGGGAATGTTACACTGTGATTAGACTTTGCCTGAAGATCTGAACAATAGATATATCATTTAGGGGAAGCATTGTTTTGCTGGATGTCACAAAGCCCTGCCCATTTCAGGATCATAGTTTCTATAGCAACTAACACAGCTGAAAGAGAGGTGGGGGGGAGGGAGAGGGAGGGAAGGAAGGAAGGAAGGAGGAATAGGAGCTTGTGACTAATGTGGTCACCCGAAATGCGTGACAGTATTATAGCACCCACATAGTCACGTCTCTTCCCTGTGTGGGGTGTGCTTAGGAAAGTTACTGTGGATCACACAAAGGTACAGTTTGCTAAGCGAATGTACAGATTAGGGATTGCTAAAATCTTCTTTCTTATTTAATTCAGGAGGGTCCCCTGCAGCCCAGAAGAATATGTTGGCTTTGCACATTAATGGAATCATTTCAGCTGCAGTAGTTTAAATGCAAGGCATGGGGTTTCCCCCCTAGTTCCTGCAAGTGCAGGATTATTCCCCACAGAGCAGTCACAATGGCTTTAAATTTCAAATTTAAAGGAGGGGAGAAAATGTCGCAACACTTTTTTTGGGTAGTCCCTCTCCCCGTTGTTAATAAGCCTCTTTTGATAAATATGCTATTGCTATGTTAACATCATCATTATTTGTGTGTTTGTGTGTGTGTGTGGGAAGCTGGGAAGCTGCCCAAAGTGGCTGGGGCAACCCAGTCAGATGGGTGGGGTACAAGTAATAAATTATTATTATTATTATTATTATTATTATTATTATTATTATTAGCAGAAAAGCTTTCATTTTATTCCAGCCCTATCAATTTCTTCGTGTGTGACTGAGCCAAGAGTATACATAATGTGTCCTTTTTGTAATATGGTATCCATGAGTGGTGTGTTTGTGCTGGTGTATTGATTCCATGTACCTCATCCCTACAAGCCAGAAGGCTCCCACGTCAAAGCTGAACTGATTTCCCAGTAGTATAGCCTAGCGGGGGATTCAGACTGTACAGAGCCTGGCTACAGTAGACCTGACCTGCAGTTTCTCAGAGGACATTGTATTGAGAAAATATCTGAGGGGGTTGTTGTTTTTTGCTCCCCCCAGCCTACAAAAAAGAAGGCCACTTTTCAGGATTTTTTCTGAATTTTCATCAGCATCTTTTTTTGTGGCAGCCACTATCTCTTCCCCCCACCCCATAAAATGTCCTGGAATGATGTTAGATCTAAAGCAGAGGTGGGAAAACTATGGTCCTCCAGATGTTGACAGACTACAGCTCTGACCACTGGCCCTGTTGGCTGGGATTGACTGGAGTTGTCATTCAACAGCATCTGGTAGGCCACACAAGGAAAACAGCCATTTATCTGTCAACAGATGGCTTAGGATTTCCATTTTCTTTTTATGCAATCTGTCTGTCCACCAGCCACATCATCAAATGCATTTTGTAGGAATTTTACTGTTTGCATCTCAGTACTTTGTGTTTTTATTTTCTCATCTTCCAAACACCAATGAGTTTTTGATTCCCTACTTTTTAAACTCTGTATTCCAAACTTTATGCCATAATATAATTGGTTAAGTCTTTATAGTACCACAAGACTTTTCATTTTGCTTTGCTACAATGATCAACAAGGCTACCTTTTTCGAAACCTATCAATAGATGGTGTTTGTAATAAGTCTGATAGCTACCTCTGATGATAACTGATCCAAGAAACTGTTGCCTAGAATTGTCCTTTCCCCCATAAACACCTTAAGATGAAAGTATTGAGGATGTTTCAAGAGGATGCACAATATTATCCTCTCCCTATTCTCAAAGCCTTTTTCTTTCAGCAGTTCTTCTGAGACGGTTCCCAGCTGCATCTCATTATCTATCAAGTTGTTTGGAAGCCTTGTTGAGCTGAGAATGCCCAGCAGAAACATAAGAAATCAACAACATTTTCTTTCTTCAAAATACTGATTATGCTAATCATCTCTGTTGATATCAAAAGAATATCCTACGAGATGCTAGAATGACCATTTTTCACCAGTGGTTTAAGGAAACCAAGAGGCACAAAAACTGAAATGCAAAACATCTCTCAGATTTATGGTCCAAGTGATCCAGTCTTCTGGAACAGTATTCCTAGCACCTGAATACTATTACTATACTTTACCATCTAAGGTTACTCAGTCCCATAGTACCAGCCAGGATATTGTTATATTGACAAGTCTGTAAGAGAGATTCAGTATACTAACTGGGCTGGTTTTGGGTATTTGAGGCCTGTGGATAAGTACTTGTAGCTGTTCAGCCAACCACTGAACAGCTTATATTGTTTCATCAGCTGCATTTTGTTCTGTATATTGTGCTTTTAATATTTAATCTTTTCGTTTTGTACATTACCATGTCTTTTAATATGTACACTGCTTTGAGACTTTGGTAAAATGGTGGCGCAAAAATGTTTTAAATAAGTAAATAAATAAATAAAAAGATACCACTTCTCTTACAAAATGACCAAGAAATATACCATATTTTTCCGTGTATAAGACTACCCCCATTTTGGGGGACCCCAATTGAATAAAATGGGGGGAGATGGCCCAGAGCTGATTGAGCTTTTTTGGGGGTGGGAATGCCGAAAATCACTCACACGACTGACATACGCTGACAATCGCACACGTCGTAGATGCCACCAACCATTTGCCTGCTTGACGCCAGACGGCAATCGCACCCCCTGATTTTTTACATTATTTCCGAGGAAAAAAACCTTGTCTTATACACAGAAATGTATGGTAATTTACTCTAAGGTACTGCCCAGTTAAAATGTCTGGTTATGGTAGGAGAACATTACCCCCACTGAACTGCAGCACCAGAGCTACTGCTGTGTTCCCAAAGGCCATTGACATCTACATCTCTTTCCTTTAATGATATTTTGTGCATGCATTGCTACATGGTGGCCTAGGCTAGAAAACTTGTGAGGTTGGTGGTGTAGGGCAGGAAGGGAAGGGGAAGAGGTTGGTTGGGTCTCCTGTAAGCCACAGTTCACCTCTTGGGGATCAGTTCATGTTTTGTGCTTTTCTTAGCCACTGATGGATGTGCACAGTTTTGAGGTGAACGCTCTAAGAGGCTGAGTCATCACTGAGGTGAATGCTCTAAGGGGTTGAGTCATCAATCCCACTGAGAAAAGAAAATATCTGTCTTGAGAGTGAGATATTTGTTCTGGAACTTCTTAAAAGGAGATTTAATGGTGAGCAGAAGCTGCGTTGTGGAGTTTCCTTTGTGTCTGCATGTACCTCTAGAGGCTGTATCACTCCTTTTGTTACAGTGACATCCCACGGAAAGGACTGACATGTTGTTGAAATTCTACATGAATTTGAATTTCGGGTGTCTCCCCCCCCAGCAATATTTACTCCCAGTGCAAATGTTTTAGGGCCAGTTAATTTACACCTGGGAGGATAGTAACTCACTGTGACTGAGCTTTCAGTTCACTGAATAATGTGGTTCATTATTTATGTGGCATATTAGGAATAGATCATTGACTAGCATCTGTGGTTAAGCCCCAGCAGAGGGGAGATTAACATGTTTTGCAGCTTGGAATAATCTTCCCTCACCTCCAGACCATGCAAACTCTTTTACCTACAAAGCGATGAAGTGACTGCTTTGAAAGTTGACAATTTATACTAAGTATTATAATACAGCAATATATAATTTACTGTTGTGCTACATATTTCAACTTCCAGAGTACTTTCAGGCAATAAGGGATGGAGGCAGAAATTCAGTCCTACCGTTCCAAAGCACTCATAGCTAGAAAAATCTTACCTACACCTCACAGTGATTTATTCAGATTGGTCATCCATATTGGCAGTTTGAGGTGTATAGCAATGTGGAACAATGAAGCTAATTAAATAACCATTAAATGCAAACCATACTTGTGGCTTCCCAGTCAGTATGATAACCTTTGATGTACCGTGGGGTCCTTAAGAAGGTCCTTCTCCCTTTTGAAACCTAGCACCCCTTGGCAGTCGCAAGGAAGACCAGCATAGCTGGGCATCTTCACAGCTCACCTTTGTCACCATAATTAAATCAACAATAAAATAGCCCAGTGGATGGTTAACTGACTTCACCTATTGAACACAGAATAGTAAGACTCTCCAGTAGTTTGGCTAAAAGTTCCAAGGCAAGGATGCGGGATGAGATTCTATAGGTTATTCAGGATCAAATGACACCAGCCATACTTTAACCAAGGAACTTGATCTATTAACAAAATACAGTGGTACCTCGGGTTAAGTACTTATTTCGTTCCGGAGGTCCGTTGTTAACCTGAAACTGTTCTTGACCTGAGGTACCACTTTAGCTAATGGGGCCTCCTGCTTTCTGTTCTTACCCTGAAGCAAAGTTCTTAACCTGAAACACTATTTCTGGGTTAGCGGAGTCTGTAACCTAAAGCGTATGTAACCCGAGGTACCAATGTAGACAGAATGTTGTAAGATTCTCAGGACCTGGGACGAAACACCTCTGGCTCTTTCTGCCTGAGGCTCAGGACTCTTCTTAGGCCACACCCCCTCCCAAGCCACATCCCTCACTAGCGTGCTTTTCAGCCTCTTTGAGTGTTTTAGCCTGACTGGAACATGTTCTTGAATTCTGACAGTGCCTCTTGCCTGCCTGGCTGGAGGATAGAGAGGGCTGTGTAGGTGTATGTAGAAACAACAAAGGTGAAATTTACATTAGTTGCTCCGCCCACTTTTGCCTCTGGGCCCGCCCATTTATTAATTAATTATTTCATAGAATTTATACACCACTCGATTGTAAAGAACCTCATTGTAAAGAATGGACAATGTTTATTGAATATTTTAAGAACCAGTATGAACAAATACATAGCTTAGCAGGTCTCGAGTAAATCCAGCAGAGTTGAAATAGAGTATTTAATAGATAACAAACTGGATGATTAAAAAGATGTGGATTACGCGGAGTAGTAGAAGAGCAAAGGAACCAGGAAAAGGGTGGAAGGGAAGTCATACTGTATATGTATACGTGCTGTATTTGGTACGAAGTTATAAGTGGGACAGGAGGAGGGGAGGGAGGGTTAAATATGCTCTCTGCTCCTGTTTTTGAAAATGCAAATAAAATGAAATAATAAAAAAGAATCTCATAGCAATATACAGAGAAGATGAGGTTATCAATGGAAACAATTAACAACAATAATTAAAATATTCAGAAAATAAAAAATCAACAATAAACTGAAATGTGCATGTGGCCCTTGGAAGGTTTCATGTGGCCCTTAGGCTAAACAGGGCTACCAATCCATGTTGTAGATGTTAGGGAAGCCAACTGACTACTTCTTTAAGGGAGGAGATCCCATCCAGTTCTTGTGGGGTGGAGTACAATGCATATTCAGGCTACTAATTCTGTTCAGCAACTGCCTGCTTTTGCTACCTGCACAGTATTGCAAAAACATCTGGAGGCAGGCCACAGCCTGGAAACCCAGCCAGATGGGCAGGGTATAAATAATAAATTATTATAATTATTATGGTGGGTTACAAGTTGTGCCGGGGAAAGGAAAAGGAAGCTAAGCTAAATGAACTAAGCTCATGAGCATATGCCTGTGGACTCCTTTGGGAAACCACAGTTCTTAACTCTGTGAACATAGCCCACACCTCTGTCTTCAAGGCCTGTCATTCTTCTTCCCAACACCTGCTTCTTCCACCACTTTTCAGGATGTTTTTCTGGAGCTTCAATATGTGTGAGGAGCTGCTGGCACCAGACGCACTGAGATTTTTCTTTTAAAAAAGGAAATATACAACACCAAAATAATGAAGTCTACCTACATTGCACACAAAGAGAAGCTGTGCGGTGGGAATCCTGCCGTGAAACCACTTCAGATGAATAGCTTGTTAAGGAATGAAGCAGTTAGCTGAATAAAAGTCTGATTATGTACCAAGAGGTAATAAGAACCATAGTAGCTAAATGAGTAATTTCTAGAGCTGAGCTGAATGTTCTTCAGGATTACTTTTTGCCTCAAAAGTACTGATTTCAGGAGGACTGAACATCCCTCTCCCCACCACCACAAAAACCAAAAGCCAAACAAAAACCCTTTAATCCTATTTTTCTGCCTATTCAGAACTGAACACATCCACAATTTTCTTTTCTTTCTTTCTTTGCTTCTACTTCTCTGTTTGTTTTCATTCCCCTTGAGTAATGTAGTCAGCCAGGGATCATGTACCAGATGTAATGGTGTCACAAAAAGCTAATTGTAACTTTGGCTTTATGTGAGCTGTTCTTTCTGCTACTAGAGGTGAGGAGATGTGTCCAACATTTTGGGGGGCGCGCATGTATGATTTCATGTGTGATGCGCAACACGTGTCAGAAGGATGCTGATAGCAGGAGGAGGCTACCACTGTGAGGCCTACCTCTTCCCGCTATTGGCCCACTGCAGCTTGCCACCACTGCTGTGAAGTCTGTTGAGATGCATCAATGCTGTGAGGCCTGGCCCCTCAAGGTTGGGGGGCTCAGCCCTGTCCCAACAGACTTTGGTGGAGCTGAAGACACCTCAGCCCTAAATAGCTGCTGTCTATGTCTGCTACTAGGGACGCGGGTGGCGCTGTGGGTTAAACCACAGAGCCTCTTGGGCTTGCCGATCAGAAGGTCGGCGGTTCAAATCCCCATGACGGGGTGAGCTCCTGTTGCTTGGTCCCTGCTCCTGCCAACGTAGCAGTTCGAAAGCACGTCAAAGTGCAAGTAGATAAATAGGTACCGCTCCGGCGGGAAGGTAAACGGCGTTTCTGTGCGCTGCTCTGGTTCGCCAGAAGCGGCTTAGTCATGCTGGCCACATGACCCAGAAGCTGTATGCCGGCTCCCTCGGCCAATAAAGTGAGATGAGTGTCACAACCCCAGAGTCGTCTGAGACTGGACCTAATGGTCAGGGGTCCCTTTACCTTTACCTATGTCTGCTACTAACCACTGGAAAGAAAAGCTGGGGAGGGGCTGCTTCTGAAAGATGCAGTCTGCCAAAAAAAAACCACCACCCAAACCAAAACTGTTTCGTTGGGTGTTGCTTTATTGGAGAAGCATGCCCAAGCCTGAATTTAGAAGCTTCAGAAACTTGGGTATGCAGAATAGTCAGTCTGGAAATGATGTTGACTCTTGGTAAAGTGAGCACCATGGCACAATTAGGAGTCCAACGTAGTCTGATTTTTTAAAATTCCTTGGGGACTCTTCAAAGGCTTGGGATCCCTTTTCTCTTGAGGCTCACTTTGTTTTTCTAATTGTAAGTTACATTTTTAGAAGAATATAAGAACAGAAGAAGAGCCTGCTGAATCACGCCAATGGCCAATCCAGTCCAGCATCCTATTTTCACAGTGGCTAACCAAATGCCTGCGGGAAACCAAAAAGCAGGATTCGAGCACAAGAGCCCTCTCCTCTCCAGTGCTTTCCAGCAACTGGTATTCAGCGGCCTTATTGCCTCCAACTGTGGAGGCAAAGCATAGCCATCATGGCCTTCGATATCCCACTCCTCCAGAAATTTGTCCAATCCTACTTTAAAGCCTTCTAAATTGGTGGTCGGAAGGGACGCGGGTGGCGCTGTGGGTTAAACCACAGAGCCTAGGACTTGCCGATCAGAAGGTCGGCGGTTCGAATCCCCGCGACGGAGTGAGCTCCCATTGTTCAGGTCCAGCTCCTGCCAACCTAGCAGTTCGAAAGCACGTCAAGGTGCAAGTAGATAAATAGGTACCGCTCCGGCGGGAAGGTAAACGGCGTTTCCGTGTGCTGCTCTGGTTCGCTAGAAGCGGCTTAGTCATGCTGGCCACATGAGCTGTACGCCCGCTCCCTTGGCCAGTAAAGCAAGATGAGCGCCACAACCCTAAAGTCATCTGTGACTGGACCTAATGGTCAGGGGTCCCTTTACCTTTACCTTAAATTGGTGGTCAGCACTACCTTCTGTGGGATCAAGTTCACCAGGAGTTTGTTAATAACAATATCAGAAATGAACGGTCATCTCTGGTAAAATTCCAATTAAAAGTGGCAGGCTTCTTTCAGCCACTAATTTCTGTGCACCAGTTTCTGGGTACCAGTTTGTTTGAAATGTCAAATACCTCCATTTCTTCTTTCTTTTCTATTCTTCTTCGTAGCCATGACAATTTACCATTATCAGGCTGGTTTTCAAAAGTTGATATAGATTGGTCTGATTGGTGAAAGGCAACTCTTGTGCTGGGGTTGTGCATTATTGTTAGTTTCCTCTTAGGGAGTGAATCAGAACAATTGATTTTTTTTATTTATTACACTAAGTGTTTTATCTGCCAATGCAAAGATGTCTGTGTTGTCAACAACTTTATTTTGAATGGCCACTAGTAATAACACTTTAATAATAACATAGTAATAACAATGATCACTGTCTGTACTTTTCTGCATTTCATTTCCCTTCAACCTCATTGTTTATTGCTTCTCTCCATTGTTTACAATTCTTTAAGATGCAACAAGGCTATTCACTGCTTTTTTTCTGTGAAGAGTGCAGCCATCGCCATGGAAAGTGGGTTTATATTTCACTCTTAGACTACATACACACCATATATTTAAAGCTCATATCCCTCCAAAAAAGAATCCTAGGAACTGTAGTTTGTCAAGGGTGCTGGGAATTGTAGCTTTGTGAGAGGTAAACCATGGTTCCCAGAATTCCTTTGGGGGGGTACTTTAAATGCACAGTGTGTCTGGAGCCTTAGCACCCCTGGTATGTTGTATCATTTACCCTCATAGCTTTTGACTTTTAAAAAACCACCCAAATAAAATAGTGATTCCCCCCTTCCAAAAATAAAAATGCAGGAAGGCAAGCTTATTTGAATTTTGGCTGCATTGCACGGATTTAAAAGATTTGTGTGTGCTTGGTGGGTTGCTTGTATTTATAATTGCAGTGGCAAGGGTATCTGCAGGGACTCTCTGATGCTCCTTGTGAAGACTTAGGACAGTTTTACTTGCACACTGAGCTCCTGTAAGCTCTGCTTCTTCGGGGTGTTCTGCTTTCCTCTTCGAATGCAGCGGGGCTTCGCATTTGTGTCACTCCGTTCCTTTTCAGTTGCGGAGAGAATCCCATCTTGGTGCCAAAAGTGAGGTAGCAATTTCCCCCACTGCTCAGTACACACAGCAGTCCTCTTTTGTGTCTCACCCCAATGGTAATTGCTACTCTTCTCTCTCGCTGTTTTGGTTTTCAAACACACAGCGCTTAGAAGGAGGATCAGTGCGGGGCTTTGGATGAAAGTCTTCCATTATTTTCACCTTGAGCCCTCCAGCAAATGCCTCCAAGATTCTGGCGCCCATGATTTATCCATTAATTCTCTCTCCTATTGGAGTACTTTTAGTCCACTGGTAATGACTGCAGTTTCAATTAAAGACTTTAGAAGATTCTGCTTTGGCGAGGGAGAGGCTGTCCTGTTTCTCCCTTTCTTTTACTTGTTTTTGCAATAAACATACCATAACTATCTGCTCTCCTATACGAAGGCGCAATGAAATCCCCAGTGTTCAGTATGCTCTGCATTCTGTTTGGTATTATTTGCCCTCTGGCAGGACCAATGCCTCATGTTACCAGCAATAGGGGAGTAAAGATCAAGCCAAAGGGCAGCCTGCAGATGTCCCCAACGAGTCAGTGAAGAAGCAATGTTAAGGTGTTGCTTGCCTCAGATGGAGGAGTCTGCCAGCCAGACTTTGAAAGCAGCCGCTAATCGGTATGTAGACAATACTGAGCTAAATGGACCAACAGTCTGGTTGCATAAGGCAGCTGCTTAAGCTCCTCCGTCACCAGGCAGTTTGACAGAACATGTGGACCCATTATCTACTGTCTACTGCACCTGACTGCCACCTGTGCAGATGGCTTGAAAAGCACTGCAGCTTCCTAACCTGGTGGTTGTTAAGTGGTACAGAGTGTGGGAATGGAGGAAGTTTGCTCGTTTTTGTCAATCACGTCTGAGCAACTTGTCTCAACAGAAAGTACAAAGCTTCTGCCAAGCATAAACGACTGGTCTGCCAGTTAGGTTTGCTTCAATTCCATCAAGCTACCTCCTTGATTTCCTGTAGTCTTTTGTTTGCCTACCTCTGCCTTTAGTGTATATCTATCTAAAGTTTCTACACCAACAACCCTGACAGGGAGATTTTTTTGGGGGTGGGGGGGTTAATTTTATCAGAAGGCAATCTTTCTTTTCCTGCTTGTATCTGTTCCAACAGTCCAGCTAAAAAATCATGTGGTATAAAAAACCATCATGGTCAGTTGAATTGACCTGAACTTCCAACCACCCAGTGCATTTAGAGTTCAAGCTTATGCACATGGTAACTCTTCAGTAGGTGCCCTTAAGATAAAGCACCTCATGAATAACTGGGTTTAGGATTGTCATGTTAAAATCTCAAAATTTAACACTTAACTGTTGGGTTTCTTAGCTCTGCTGTTTCTGCTGTTACATTTGTGTGTACTTCGTGTGTCTGTGTGTGTGTGAGAGAGAGAGAGGGGGAGAGAGAGAGAGAGTCCTTTGTTACAAGACTGGCCATGCATTTTATTTTTCCTGTTTATTGTCTGGATGGAGGAAGAAAGTCAATCTCTTATCACTGCATAAATGAACAGTTGTGCATTTCTTTTTTACCTGAGCGTAGTGAGGTTTTTCTTTTCTGAAACTACACTACTGATGTCAAACAATGTCTTCTTTACACAGGGCTTATGTCTGTGTTAGGAAGCTTTCATCGGTGTAGTAATCTAGTTTCTTTACCTCTCATCTCACCCTAATGTTGAGCCAGATTTTTGTTATCTGTTACAAAGCCGAGATTGATACCTTTCAGTCACAAATTGCCCCCACTGTTGCAGAACCCTTGCTATTGTAAATAGCTGTCATTTGGTTTTCGCTACTTCCT